CCATCTCCCCGGCCCCTATGTACATTTTTTTAAAAAGGAGAAACTTCTACACATTGTTCTAGAAAGACCATAGAATCAGCACTTAAGCCCTTGCTCTCTGTTCCCCAAACTCAGGCACTAATCTTTATTGTCTTACATGTACCCAAATTATTCTATTTTTCTCCTTGGAGCAAGGATCCTCCCCTTTGTGATCTCTGGCCCAGTCCACTGTAGCCCAGTCTACTTTTGCCTAGTGCAGAGTAGAAGTGTCTCTGGCTTCACTCATTCTCATCCCCAATGCCTGATGAATCCAAAAGCTCAGGCAGGCCTAGAGCCCCTCACCCTTCACATCACTGCCACATGCAGCTTCCCAAAGGCAGAGCTCACACATTCCCATCAGCTTCAAGGTTCTCTCTTTCCCACAAAATAAGTTCTGAATTCCTTTGCATCACATGAAGAGCTGCTCCTAACTGGTCTAATCTAGCCATCATTTCACTCACCAACACAGCTCCCCTCCAGCACCTATACTAGGGATGATGTGTCCTGAAGCCCTTCTTTTTACACAGTTGTTTTCTCTGTTGAAAACCTAATCTGTGTCACACAGGGGAATGGACTGGGGCCAACAGCCAAGCAAACTACACACATGTGCTGCATATTTGTGGAGTCCACAAGCCTCTGCTGACACATGCGTAGTGGCGTCTTTCCAGACTCAGCTTCCTATTTCATTCCTCCTCCCAATGGAACTAATTTCTAGTTGAACTGAAACCTGCCAGATTGAGCTAATTTCCCCAGATTGTGGAAGGCTTGACCTCTGTGCCTGCCTTTGCTTTGGCATTTATGTCAGACTTAGTTTTTAAGTCCATATTCCTTGACAGATGCTATGCTGCTTATAGTAAATAGTTGGTCTTTCCTACCAAGCCTGCAAAAATTGGATACCAGAGCATTCTCAATGGCCTTGACTAAAAATTTAGACGTTATGCCAAAAGACTAGCTATCTCGAGGTGCCCACAAAAAAGTTACAGAGTACATGTGTGTTGTTTCTGTATAAGCTTGCCAATTTGCACCATATTTAATGTTCATTTCTAGTGTATTTTTCCATAATATGCCCAGCCTTAGTGTTCATTTTTACTGTTTTAAGAGAATTACTTCTGTCTCTAATGATAACAAAGGAAAGAGATGTGTGCACACACACATATATATAACTATAAATGATATTGATCTCTTCAAACCCCCTTAATATATTGATTTAAACTATTTTAGGATTTATGTCGGTGTTTATTTTCTTTTGCATAGAAATGTCTCTGTCTATGAAGATTTCTGTGAACAACAAGTGCTCTTTTTCCTACTGAGTTGCATGCTAATGCAGTATCGCCTATGGAGGGAACATATGCTCCATGCTCATATTCTCAATGCCATGGTTACTGCAGGACTATTTCTATGCAGGACTATTTTTCAGTGGTCCTGAGATATATTGCTCCCAGAGCAACCTGGTATAGTATTTTTATATTGACTTATTCTGGGGAAATAAATTATACCAAAGGCCTCCTTCCTTCTTTTAATATCTAGATGGCAACAATAACTCTTTGCCTGTGTTTGACTGAACCAACTCATGAGTTCTGCATTGAATTCTTAGAGGCAGTGGAAACAATAAAGTTGCATGATCGCTTGTAATCATATGAATAGGTGTTGCTCTAAGTTTACAACCTGGAAGAGATGATAATGTGCCTAAGGAAAATCAAGCTATTAGATCAGCAAGATTTTAATAAAACAGAAATGATATTCAGAGACTAAAATTATATTCTGAAACTACATTGCTTCACCACCATCACCATGATTCTAATAAAAGGATAAAATAAGGATAATTTTCAGAGCCTAAAGTGGTTCTTGTCTAGATGTTGATTTCTGTTCCTCCATGAAGACTACTCAAACCACTAGACTACACTTTGACTTAGTCCAGCAAAGTCAATTTTAAGCAACAAAGTGTGTAACATATCTTAAAATGCAGATGCATTCAACCACAGCTCTAATATGCTTTCATGTACAACCATTTAGAAAGACTCAAATTTAATGTACCTTTCCGGTCTCAGTCTTGCTTGAAATTTCCCCAGTATCATTACTATACCTGAAAAATAAATTGATCCAGTTTATAATTTTATTAAAATGTAATTTGGAAAACCCAAAGCAAAATGTCAATATTCTTTACCCTGGAAATGGTTTTGTTTTCGCTTTCTTCTGCTTTGTTTCTTGTCCCATAGCAGTTTCTGCAAAACATAATAAAATAAAAGCAATTTGACTAAGAGGCCATCTCTGCTTGTATGTAAGTATATATGATAAATGGAACTATTACTAGGAATTAAAAATAAATTCAACTTGCACTGATATAGCTTTTATCTCACAAGTATTTGGGGAAGGAGTTGAAACAAGGTCTTGCAATGTAGCACAAGCTTGCCTGGAACTCAAAGTAATCATCCTACTACAGAGTGCAGGATCACAAGTGCGCACCATGATGCTTGGCTCACAAAGTCTTTTATAAGCACTAACATCCTCTGGACAAAAAGTTCTCACTGGATCAAAGCAACCAGAATTAAAAAAGGAAATCTAATGCCACAGCCAAAAAGGATGTAGGAATTAAAGATTACCAATATTGTATAGGAAAGTCATTTTAGGTAGAAAAGAAGAGCCTGGAAATCTACTAATAAAGACCCGAGAGTTTCATCAGACTGGCTAGGGGCCAGAAAAGGCATTCTTTCTGTTTTTGTTAGAAAACAAAAATTCAAGATTAAATCTAGGGTAATACATTTGTATAATTCCTTTATATAGATACCAGAAACTACTGAAAGAGAAAATTTTAAATTCTAGTCCTGCATGTATGAATAATTTATGACTAACTGCCTAAGTGACAAGACCCTACTGTGGTCACAGCAACACACGATACCATCAATATCCAGTCCTGCGCTGGCAGCCTCATTGATATAAGTCATCTGGTTGACCTCAGCCTCAGCCTCGGCACTGATGATCTGCTGCGACACAGCCTCCACGATGGGCATCACCATGGCAGCAGTTGAGGTGTTGCTAAGCCACATAGACAGGAAGGCAGTGCTGCTCATGAATCCCAAGGTCAGCCTGCAACAAGACAGCCATTAGGGCAGACCTGTAATCTCTGTCCTGGGTGGCTCTGCATTATCTACAGGTAAAGGATATTGTTTGTGAGTTGGGGATTATGTTCTTCAAAACACAGAATGTTAAGGTTCAGCCCAAGTGCTGAACTCTGAGTATAAACATAGCCATGTAGAAATCAAAGTAACACCTGTAAGAATGGAGCTTGTAAGGAACTTGTCTCTTCGAGACCATGAGAATTGTCTCTTCCCAAAGAGAAAAAGAGTTAATGTATTCAGAATGCAAGTTGGTGTATGTCATAACAGCTTACAAAATTACATAAACACTTGAATTTTCTTTAAAGATGACCACATAGCCTAAGACACAGTAATATGTAAGTTCAAATATCTTTTGAATTTAGTCCCTTACTCTTTATCTTTTGGCCATAAGAACACACAAGAACAAAAAGAGATTAAAATTTATAAATCTTCTTTTTACTCCTTTATTTTTCTGGTTTGTTATATAGTTGGCAAAGAAAGTGCTGAAAATCATTTGCTAAAATGAGGTTTCAAAATTTTACCTATTGTCTTGAATCTGACATTCTTTTTTGTCAAGAATTATATTTATTATATTACCTTCTGTTAAAAATAGTTTGTCTTTGAAAATAGTATGCTTGAGAATTTAGGATTTTAAACTACATCTATAAAATTTCCAATTCACACTTGGTAAAATGAATGATCTCTTTGGAGTAGCAGGCCCCCCAAAATCATTCATGAGTTATTTGTAAAATTCTCAGACTTTTATTAAAGTAAATTTACAAGACCAACTCTATCCTATGCATCAAACTCAGGTATAGTTTATATTTCTTTTGTATGAAACAAAGTAAAAGAAAACAGAGATCTGTTTGAATAAGTATTTACTCAGTAATAGTAATAATGATAACTATAATAATACTAATATTAATAAAACTAGAAACACTTTTAAATTAGAGTACTTGCAAAATACGAAACATTCCTATGTTTTTTTTTTTAAAAAAAGGATGAGATTTGCTGAAGGCTGTGGCACACACCAAAAATCCCATGCTTTGGGAGGCTGAGGTAGGAAGATCACAAGTTCTAGCCTAGCTTGGGAAATTTCAGCACTCGGGCACTTTATATGAAAAGTAAAAATAGAAATAAAATAGGCTATGAAATGTAGCTCATGCTAAGGACTTGGGCTTAACCTCCAGCACTACAAAACGAAACACAAAGCAAAACAACACAAAACAGAATAAACCAGCTAAAAAGTGATGTCAGACACAGCTTGTGTTTGGTGAAATGCCTTAAGCCAGAAAGCCATTTGGTGGAATAAAGTATAGGGCTCCTCCCCTGCCAGGTAGTGTTATTCCCTCCCCTGTAGCCCTAGTCTTATGGTCCAGGAAAGCATACATTACATTTCTATGCCACAGAAGGGACAAGGGAGACACTGCTTCATTTTAAGAGTAAAATGCCTCAAGTATA